TCGATTCTGTTCCACTGGTCAGTGTGTCTGTTTTGCTGCCAATATCATGCCATTTTGATTACTGTCCCTTTGCAGTATATTTTGAAGTTGGGCAGAGTGATGCCTCCAGCCTCATTCTTTTTTCTCAGGATGGCTTTGGCAATTCAGGATCTTTTGTACTTCCATACAGATCTAATGATTTTTTGTTCCATTTCTGTGTATCGACTTTGCCCCCCAGCTCCCTGAACCCACCCTGACTCCACACCAAACATACCTGTTTCCTCAGACCCTCCCTCTGTGAATAGACAGCAGTAGCAAGCAGTGAAGCCAGTTACTCAGATATAAATTGCGTGGTGACAACAGAGGAAACGGCTATGTTCTCTCCCCAGGCTGAAGAATGAAAGTAACTCCAAATGGATCCTTTATTCATCAAATATTTATTGAACACCTACTACATGCCAGACACTGTAATAGTTTCTGCAGACAATTCTAGGAGGTGGCACGCATTTCTATGGAGAGTTAGTTACCTGCCATGGATGGGCAATCCTGACTCCTGTGAGCCGATCGTTAGCTGATCCCTTGCATATACAGAGACATGAACCAACATCCCAGTAGAGTACAAATCCCTCTCCCCTAGGCTTAGCAGTGTAAAAGAACACATTTCCTACGGCGCCCAACTAGATACTTTTTCTTGCAAAAAATTCATGTGAACCAAATGTTTTACTTTGCTTCACAGACCTTTCACAAATAAAATTAATCCAGCAGGAAGGAGGGATCCCTTGCCCAGGTGATACCCATATTAAGAAATGAGTGCACAATACAATACACAGATGATATTTTATAGAATTGTACGCTCAAAACATATATAATTTTATTAAGCAATGTCACTCTAATAATAAGTAAATAGATAGATAGATAGATAGATAGATAGATAGATAGATAGATAGATAGATAGATAGATGATAGATAGATAGATAAATAGATAGATAAATAAGTCCATATGTGATTATGTTGATTCGGTATTACCAACAGGGGAAAAAAAAGAGATAAGTGCAGGACCAGATCCCTTCACTCAGGTCTCTTCTTGGATCTGAGAAGCACTAAGGACAAGAGCTGGAGGAAATCTCAGGAACTGTCCAGCCCCACCTCTTCTAGTTACTACCTGAGACTCAGAGAAGTTAAGCAATTTGCCCCACGTCACACAGTTGCAGCCAGAACACAGATCTCCTGACCCCAGGCCAGAGACTTTTCCAAAGCACCTTAAAGGGCTTGGTTTGATTTTAAAACACCCACTCTTTCTCCTCCTAGTGATTTTTAATCCCTGTCAAGTTATCTTATGTTTGCTTGCTGTGGGTTTTGTATTACTGGGGCTTTTTACAGTAAAATAA